CGACCTAAGGACTGTCCAAGGATTACGATTAAGGATAAAGCAGCTTGTCTACGTACCCTGATGCGGGGACTCGTAGTGTTAATAGGCTTTGTAATGTTGTTGGTTATTTTGTATCAAGCTAGAATTAGACCATGGAGCCTCACACATGTAACAGTCTCCCACAGGAGATTCAAATATGCAAACATGACCTGCTGGGATATCACTCGAAGCAACATCTTCATGCCATGGAACCAAAATGAGACCATTCAAAATCAAACTTTGACTTAGAATCGAGTGAAACGAGCGGGCTATCGAGCCTGGAGGAAAAAGCTGATGGACGATTTCTAAATCGTCCATCGTTAAACAGGGGTGGAGGCCTCCAGGTTCAACTGTCCCCCTCTTACAATGCTGTGATTGCTAGTATCACTCAGCCCTCTGTGAACAGTAAACAGCCATCAGTGTGCTAATGATCCATTGTTAGGCTGATGGTCCTTCTTGAGCATGTGATCAGCTAGTTTTGGTTGTCAGCAGCAAAACTGGTTGATCCACTCTGAGACGGTGCTATTTAAGAGACTGAGCTGAATACAGCTCCTCAGACTGAGGAAGTCTCTCGGATGAGAGACGAAACGTTTCTACATTTTTTTGTTGATTTGCTTTGTTTTGGTTTTTTTTTTTTTAATGTTCCGAGGACCAGATTTAACTTTTTTAGATTTTTCTACCTGGATTATTGAGCATGCATCAGGATAAGTTAAAAGAACAACAAGATGTAACTGGATACACCCTGACAAAGAACCACCCGAATGGCAATGTGATCGGGCCTGCCGACCACTGCCAGGGTTGGCCCACCAAGGCCACTGGGACAAAGAAGTGATCTATCCCGTGCCGCCAAAAGCTGTCAGGCGATCTTCCCACGTTGGGAGTTATGGGGCAATATCCATTTAGACTGTGACAAAATACCCCCACTCATTCAAAGAAATCACACTGGAACGTATCGGAACCGTACTGGAATTAAAACCATTCACACTATAAGACACAAGAAGATACTCAAACCCAATGCAACCGACATAAAGCCTCACCAACGACCAACTAAGGCCTATGATGATGAAACAGTCCCGCCGGGCAATGTAATATACATGGTAAAGATAGAGTCCAATGATAACGGGGCAGAGAAGGCTGCAACAGAATATTGTAAGGAAAACAAATTAAAGAAGCTCCCAATCTGCTATTGGAACCTGTATGGTGAGTGTAAATCTCAAAATAATTTACCAATAACCCCAGTAGCAAATCAAAGATATTATTACTGGAGCTGGGCAGCTATATTTCATCCTGTTAATGCCTGGCACGAAGATTGGTTGAACATGACATTGCCCTGGGTATGGGTGGTCCCTGGTTTGCCCCACTTCGAAGGTGACTTTGTGGAAGGGTATACCAGGACTTATGCAGGCCTGATGGGGCCATATTACTCAGACATGTACGTGCAGAGGCTGCCCAAACCAAACGAGCTATTTAGTGCACCAAAAGGTGATTTTAACAAAATTGATGAATGTGTAGCCGAACAAATTTTCCTTAGCCTTAATAACTCAGTGTGGGAGAGTAGTGGGGCATCACCTAGATGCAGACTGTGGGAAACAGAAGTAGCAGTCATGTCCACTTGGCGCTATGACTGTATGGAACTAAAGAAAGAAAAGACGATCAAAATATTGCTCCAAGCCTGGCACGAGTATCACCATAGAGATGACTCATGTACTTGGTGGGGATTTCAGGAGGAAGAAATAAGAGAATGGGTGGTCCTTTGTTTAAAACACTCTGCTAATTATTGGATCAGGTATCAATTCTTAGCTACAGTTTACTTCAAAGAGCAGGACATATGATCAAATGCTTTATATCGTCCCGGCAGGTATGTCAGCCCAAGGCCATGGCAAATGTTTTGTAATGGGAAAAAAGATGTCTACAATTAGCTTGGCCTGCAGGATTTGTTACGAGTTACCTGGATGGGATACTTACTGTCGAAATCACTATAACGACGAATTCATAACTCATGCAGCTGAGGTAGTGTGGAAAAAGTATAGTGACGGAAAATGGAGAAGATCTGTACCTGATGGTACAAGTTGCACTAACGTCATATTAGGACATAAGCTGAAAACTAGAAAGAGTATTCAGGGAGTGATTGTCCCCTTCGTCTCCAATTCTATGATTGCTCTGGCCGAAGGACATGCACTGAGACGACGCCTATGTTTTGGCGATGAGTTGCATGGCTACGATTGGGTAGGCCCAAACAAAATCTACTCTAATCTCACATGTCAATATCCAGAAGAAAGTTGGAAAAATGTGGCAAGGGAGAGGAAGAACATGACTGTGCTTGGTATGAAACTGTTAGTTACACAGAAGGCCGTAAAGTCACGGAAGTACTGCATGAAGTAGGTGAAGTGATCAAGGAAGGCAGAAGAACCGTTGAAGGATGGATAGTTGTTCTTTTCCTTCAGATCTGGCCTTATTTGGCAAGCTTAGTTGGAGTGATAGCTGTTGCCTTATTAGAACGTGTGGTCCTACAAGAAGGTATCAAGGCCATGTGTCACCCATGTGGGAGGAACTACAAGCCACTCCCACCAGAACCGGGCGCTGGCTCGGCTTAAAACTGAGAGAACACAGAAACAGTCTCACATCCGCCCCGGAGCAGCAGAGAGCAGAACTCAAAGAGATCCTCGGAGTCAAGAACATCATGGATTGCCCAACAACCAGTGCTCCAACTGATGTGAGTACATTTTATGCAGACTCAGATAGCACTACGGCCCCCATGCAGACCTCTTGGCCAAGATGCCCATCCCATTTTAAGGGGAGCACGACAGAATATTTCCTAATAATGATTGCATGGATGTGCTACTGCCACACGGGCAAGTGGGGTAATGGGAGATTGATTCGATTCCCTGTGGCCTTCCAGGCCTACGCCAAGATAATCGTGACCCATGTAATCCTAAAGAGGGCTGAAATAATGCCACACTTATTTGTTACCTATGTCTTGGGAAGGGTCCAGACCTCACTCCGGCAGAGAGTAGTGATTTCATCTTGGCTATTGGTAGATTCCATCGTAGTGACCCTCGAGTGTGTGGCCACACTCACCCCTCTGTCTATACCCATCACAAACTGTGGGAGCATAGTTGGAAGAATCGTGATGGCGGTGATGGAAGGAGCTACAGTGTATAACCATCACCGTGCTGGCACACCTACTATACCAAACCCTATCCTTGCGACCCCAAAACAGACAACGATGGACCCTGAAGATAGTCATCCTAATTGGATGGGGTCTGGCCTGGGGGATCTGTTCTGTGCTATATTGGACTGGTCTCTGCACCACAGTACCCATCGTAGTTTGGATGATGACTTATGCTACAATCTTCAAAACCAGACCTGAACCTGCTCCTACTGCACCGGAGGGAAGTGGAGGCCACGGAATCTCCATAGATGGAATCCCCAATTCACCAAAAATACAAAGAATCTTAATCATTATAACCAACAATGCTTAAATACCCCCCTGCTAATGCTATTATTAATTATTAATCTAATGTCTGTTTAATTCCGGGCAACATTGCTCGATGAGGTCCTTGATGTCGGCTGATGGCCTGTATAGGTCCAGTAACGGTTGAGGGCCTTTGAAAAGCGATGGAACCCAGGGAAGAAGAAAAAAAAAAGGAAAGAAAAAATATATAATAATAATAAAAATAATAAAAAAATAAAAATAAAATAAAAAATAAATGTAGTAATTGTGTTGTAGTGTTAAATCTTGTTTTATCCCCTTTTGTCGTTACAGGAGCATGAAGTAACCTGCTGTTTCTGTCACAAAGGATTGACAGAAACCAAATATCTCTGGGCTGTCGGTTCGTCCTGGTGGTGCCAGTGCTGTCACTCTGGCTTGGTGGCCAGAACTGTGGTGAATGGAATTCTTGTCTCAGACGAGCCCCATAGTCTGCTGCAAGTATCCACAGCGGTGTGCATGGAAACAGAGCGCACCTGCAAAGTCATCTGGACCTCGGCTCTGAACTCAGTGCCCTATCGTCCAAGGGGAGCTATCCCACCATGAGCCTCATACTACCCAGTGGTAGCCAAGTTGTGGGAACACCTCCATAACGTCACCAGGTTCGTGGCAATCCATCTGTACACTGGGCTGCCCTTGGTCCACGGCCCATCCTTCGGGGTTATGCAGGGATCATCAGAGCCTCTGCCCCCGACAGTGCCAGCCTCCTTAGGGGCAAACCTAGGAGCCACTCCACCATTGGTTCCGACTCCCGTGATGACAACAATTCAAGAATGGAATACAAATCCACCTAACGTCCATCTGGCACCAACCCTGATGGTGACGACTCGACATGAGACCCCAGCCGTTACTTCACCTGACCTGCCATCTACGGGGGCTCAGCCTGAGACCGAACCCATGGAAGTAAGGGCAGCATCTCCTGAACCGCCCCTTCTCTCCCTGGAGTCTCCTCCTACATGTCTCTGCGTGAGTGCAGCTACGGAGTGCACTCTCAGGACATTATTACCTGCAGTGTTCCCTCAGTGAGGACTGAACTAGGCAAAAGGGCCTTCTCCTACTCCGCTCCTGTTTCCTGGAATATCTTACAAAAAGATTTGAAGCTCTCGACCTTGACCTCTCTAAGTGTCTTTAAGAATCTGTTGGACTCCTGGCAGGGTCCAATGCAGACATGTTCCTGTTTTTAGTTTTTTACATTTGTCTTGTAATCTAGCTGTTTTTTGTTTTGTTACCTTTTTCCTTTTAGCCATCCTATTTGTTAAAAAAAACAACCTGTAGTATGAGTTTTTATAACTGTTTATTGTTGTTGCTGTTGTCCATTGTTGTCATCTTTCTTTGTTGAAATCAGGTCTCTCTTGTAAATGAGTCATCGAGGCTCAATGGGATTTACCTGTATAAATAAAGGTTGATTGATTCTCTCCCTGGAGTGCCCAGAACTGTACCAATTGGAAACCTATCTTGATCATTTCGTGAGCACTGAAGTTGGCCCACTTAGTCCGACCAACTCCACGAGCACTGCTCCGTATGATCCTACAAGCCCTGAAGATTCTAACCCACCAAGCCTGATCAACCCGGATGGAACATTTCTGGACCCAACTCATCCTGATGGGCCAGTAAATGCCCCTCAAGAATCGATGCAAGCACGACCACAGCGAGTGCCAGAGGCGTATACGTGGGTCTATTCAGATGAAGGACGACCCATCTATGAGCCCATCACTCCTGTTGAGTCTCCCATGAGTGTGGAGGCGACATCCTCTCAGCCTGTCACTAGCACAGCCCCACCTTCATCTGAGGATGCACATCACTCCGGGGATCCGACATCTCAAGTGGGCAACTCACGAGAGGTCAACTCTGGCGAGCTGACGATAGTGGATTATTGGGATGCTGCTGACGAGGAGGCCCAAAGCCTTGGGCCTAGCGATACTGAAGATCCAGCACCGTATCACGAGGATCTGGTCAATTTGGATTACGAGGAAGATGTCTTAAAAGTGGATACAGCTGATGAAGATCGGGACTCGCTTGGAGTTTAAGTGTGGGTTGAGGGAACAGTCTGACTCCGTGGATGGGGTGTCAAAGATGTACGGAGTTCAGCCTGATCTTATAGGGATCGGGCAAGTCAAGACATGTTATTCAGTGTTATTCTGCTAGTTTCATGCCTGGTATGTAGGCCTCGAAGCCTTAAATAATCAAAACCATGTGCAGAGCAACACAAACACTCACACACCCCATAAGAATGGATATGACACCCAACTACACAGGCTCATTAAGACGCACACACACACATGCTCACTAAGACACACACACACACAGGCCCGTTTGAGAGGCACACACACGCAAGGAGAGAACAGCAGAAGTAGAACATGTTTTTCTTTTTTTTTTTTAATTACCAGTTTCAGATGAATGAGAAAGATGTGTTTATAATAAATCAATAAACAAGTAGATGATCAAGTGATATTATAAACTTTGTGATTTTAAAATGTAATCTTTATGATTTTACAATGTAATCTGTTTTCAAGCTTAGTCATGTTGTTGAAAGAAAAAACTAGCAGTTTCTCAAATGTTCTGGAAAAGAAGTTACAAGCAAGGGCATCACACAAGGGGAAAGTCCCAGAACACAGCTCTGAGCAAATCAGAATAGGCCAACTCAGAATGACTGAGCATTATTGAACAAAATACACCCAGATTTTAATATGCATTAGGAGTGACTGGCAAAATCTCATAAGAAGTCGGTAAAGTCGGACCAAAGTCCAACCCAAGAGGGATGGGTTAGCCTAATGGGGTGACTGGTCTGGAGATGTCAGTCAAAATCTCAGGCTATATAAACAAAAGTTTCAGTGAAAACTCTGCTGTTTTGGGGATCCATTTCACAAGCGAGGGAGCTCAGGACAAGACCCAAAGAACCTCTGGACGAATTGTGGATTATTGGGCAATTTTGGACGGTCTCTGCTGGAGGAGAACTAGGGTGAAATCCGTTGGAATAAGTTTCCTTTTTGGAACTATTCTTCAACCCATCAGCCCAGATTTATTCCTAAATCCTTTTCTTCAAAATTCAGACCAGCAGAGGACCAGGAACGGCCCACATCTGAGAGAAAAGATGGGGAAATTTGCCTCTTGCTAATTCAAACCATGGTAAGAGGACGTTTCTCAGACTTTGCCCTAAATGAAACCTTATCCCAAATTATAGCAGTGGTGTATGAATTGACAAGCAAAAAAATCAATTATATTAAAAACCTGGTTGCTCAGAGTTGTAGAAGGGTCTTCTTTGTGGTGAGGAATAATCTGTTGGGGCAGGTAGTGAGAGTAGGTAAACTGTGTGGGTACTTGTGTTCCTGAGGGAGACCGGGCATGGCCGGCCGGACTGAAGGAAATCCGAGGACGAGCAGAGAGGAGTCCAAGAGCCTGTTTCAAGCCCATCCACAGGAACTGAGATCTACCTCGCCCAGGAAAGGTCAACAACTAAAAAAGGGACTAAGGAGTGAAAATTATTCATCATGTAATCTCTGTGTAATCAAGTGTAATCATTATTGTGCAATACCGCTGTTCCCCTGCAAAAGTTATTGATTAAAGCAAAGCAAAACGTAAAATTCTGGATTCTTATTTCAAACCCCCCTTTTGTTCATGGAAGTGGAAAACTTGGTTCAATGAAACAACAGAAACATGGGAGGTTTTAAACGGTTTTATTAGCTTTTGATTATAAAACAACATCCATGAGCCTTGTGCCTAGGCTCTAAATATCGCCAGCTCGATTAACAATTGTAACGCTAAATCAGGAGATGCGCTACCGTTAACTTGCGCTCCCTCGTCTGCTAAACGTCCCCACTTCTGCTGCTAGGTCGGGCGAGGCACGAGGTGAAACTTTGGGTGTGGTACAAGGATCGGAGGTAGTTAACAGTCTGGGTGAATCATCTCAACACAGCCTTAAAACTAAAACTGTCCTAGGGAGCGGCTGCGGGTAATACCTGAGCTATAGGATTAGTTTTGAGAACCATTGGAGGAGAGGCTGCGGTGAGGGCGTGGCACGTGTCCTGTGCTTACCTCACTCGGGAAAGCAAGACAATATATTTATATATATATATATATATATATATATATATATATATATATATACCAACAATTAAGTTCTAAACAGGTGCAGACAGAAACATTAAAGTGTTTATTGTAGTGTAGGATTCATTTTATTGTCCTATGTGCAGAAAGGGGGAGGAGATGAAAAGTTTGATAGCCACAGGGAGGAAGGACTTCCTGTGGTGTTACGTGGAGCACCTGGTTTGTCTCAGTCTACAACTGAGGGTACTGCGGAGTCATGTAACTCCTATGTAACATGCAACCCTTTTTTGTAATCTAAAAGAGACAAACTGATGTTTGTTGCTAAAACTTGGCCATGTGTTGATTTTAATCCCCTCGAAGAGGTTAATTTACAAAATTTTGTGAACACTATAATCCAACAAGCTACAGACCTGTGACAATTGAGTCAAACTGACCTAAGCATCATTACGAGCTAAAAGCCAAGGATAAGAGACATTTTAAGAACAGCTTGGCATTAGAGCAGACAGCTAGAGTTATGGTGAACCACCTGTACATCCTGAAACAAACTGGACAAAAATTTTGAGAATGGCACAAATTTTGATTTTCATGTTTTCAGCCTCATTGTTTTTAAACCCTTTTGACAAATGTCTTTATGCTATATATAATGTAGTACAATTATCCATCCATACATCCATCCATCCATCTATCCATTTTCTTCCGCTTATCTGGGGTCGGGTCGCGGGGGTAGCAGCTTAAGTACACCATCTCTACACTCTACAACTCTACAAACTCTACACCATCTCGGGGGCCGAGATGGTGTAGAGGCAGGGCAGCCAGCTTGGGACCCAAAAGTCCCAGGTTCGATCCCCAGTCACTGCACATCACGTGGTGTCTTTGGGCAGCACACCTCATCCCCAAAATGCCTCCCGGGCGCTTTCAATAGCTGCCTACTGCACCACGTGGTGGTGGATGGGTTAAATGCAGAGACTAATTTCGCCATTGTATGGAAACATACAGTGCTGACATTGTGATGACATTATTATTATTATTAATATTATTAAGTAGGGAGGCCCAGACTTCCCTATCCCCAGCCACTTGGGCCAGCTCCTCCGGGGGAATCCTAAGGCGTTCCCAGGCCAGCCGAGAAACATAGTCCCTCCAGTGTGTCCTGGGTCTTCCTCTGGGTCTCCTCCCAGTGGGACGTGCCCAGAACACCTCACCAGGCAGGCGTCCAGGAGGCATCCTAACCAGATGCCCGAGTCACCTCAACTGGCTCCTCTCGATGTGGAGAAGCAGCGGCTCTACTCTGAGTCCCTCCAGGATGACTGAGCTACTCACCCTATCTCTAAGGGAGAGCCCAGACACCCTGCGGAGAAAACTCATTTCGGCCGCTTGTATCAGTGATCTCGTTCTTTCGGTCACAACCCAAAGCTCATGACCATAGATCAGGCTAGGAACGTAGATCGACCGGTAAATAGAGAGCTTCGCTTTTTGACTCAGCTCTCTCTTCACCACAACAAACCCATACAGTGCCCACTTCACTGCCAATGCTTCATCTATCTGCTTATCAATCTCACGCTCCATTTTTCCCTCATTTGTGAACAAGACCCCGAGATACTTGAACTCAACCCCCTGGGGCAGGACCTCCTCCCCGACCTAGAGAGGGCACTCTACCCTTTTCCGGCTCAAAACCATGGCCTCAGATTTAGAGGAACTGATCCTCATCCCGGCAGCACGGTGGCGCAACTGGTAGAGCTGCTGCCTCTCAGCGAGCAGGTCCTTGGTTCAAAACCCCGGTCCAGGGGCCCCTCTGGGTGGAGTTTGCATGTTCTCTCCGTGCATGCGTGGGTTTTCTCCAGGTACTCCGGTTTCCTCCCACAGACCAAAAACATGCATGTTAGGCTGATTGGTAACTCTAAAATTGTCCCTAGTTGTGAGTGAGAGAGTGAATGGTTGTTTGTCTCGTTTGTCTCTATGTGGCCCTGTGATAGACTTGCGACCCGTCCAGGGTGTACCCCGCCCCTCGCACAGTGATTGCTGGACATGGGCACCAGCGACCCCCGTGACCCAAAATGGAATAAGCGGGTAAAGAAAATGGATGGATGGATGGATCCTCATCCCAGCCGCGTCACACTCAGCTGCGAACTGCTCCAGCGAAAGCTGTAGATCACGAGTTGATAAAGCCAATAGGATAACATCATCTGCAAAAAACAGAGACGCGATCCTAAGGCCACCAAACCGCTCCTCTCAACACCTTGGCTGCACCTAGAAATTCTGTCCATAAAATTTATGAACAGAATTTGTTGACAATGGACAAACTCTGCGGAGTCTAACTCTCACTGGGAACAAGCCCGACTTACTGCCGGCAATGTGGACCAAGCTCTGCCACCGGTCGTACAGGGACCTAACAGCCTGTGTCAAAGGGCCTGTCTGGAGTACACCCCACAGGGCACCCCAAGGGATGAGGTCGAATGCCTTCTCCAAGTCCACAAAGCACATGTAGACTGGTTGGGCAAACTCCCACGCACCCACCAGGACCCTGCTGAGGGTGTAGAGCTGGTCCAGTGTTCCACGACCAGGTTAAAACCTCACTGCTCCTCCTGAATCCGAGGTTTGACTATCCAATGGACCCTCCTCTCCAGAACCCCTGAATAGACCTTACCAAGGAGGCTTAAGAGCGTGATTCCCCTGTAGTTGGAACACACCCTATGGTCCCCCTTTTTGAATAGGGGGACCACCACCCCAGTCTACCAATCCAGGGGAACTGCCCCCAATGTCCACGTAATATTGCAGAGTCGTGTAAGCCAACACAACCCCACAACATCCAGAGCCTTTAGGAACTCTGGGCAAATCTCATCCACTCCTGGGGCTTTACCACCGAGGAGCTTTTTAACTACCTCGGTGACCTTAGCACCAAAGATTGAAGAGACCAACCCAAAGTCCCCAAGCTCTGCTTGCTCAGTGGAAGACATGCCGATAGGATTAAGGAGGTCTTCGAAGTACT